GGGTTGCACCTGGAAATGTTCAAGGATCATGCAGTGTGGGCATCGATCTGGGTCCAGGCAAAGCATGTCCTTAATCTCTGTACTATCTCTGTTAATCAACTATTCTTTTAAAGCACATGTTGATTAACTTTATTTTTCATATACTTTAAAAATATATTTTAAAGTTAAATGAGCAGTGAACAAAAGAAAAACCATTTGAAATAATGTTTGGGTTTCTGCTAAAAGTGTGTACCTCATGGTGTTTCACTAACAAAAATTTAAAAAAAATGTAAATGATGGAGAATGGTCACTGGTGGAGGGATGGGTACTGGATCATTGTATAACTGAAACCCAAGCACAAAAATTTGTAAGTCTACAACTGTACCTCATGGTGTTTCACTAATAAAAATTAAAAATAAAATAAAATAAAAGTGTAGTACAGTGGGCAGGGCGCTTGCCTTGCATGCAGCTGACCTGGGCTTATGTCAAGGAACTCCATATGATTCTCTGAGCACTGCTAGGAGTAATTCCTGAGTGTGGAGCCAGGAGTAACTCTTAAGCACCACCAGATGTGACCCCCTTTGCCCCTCTACCTCCCCAGAAAAGTATGTATGTATATTGTGAGGTTTGCTTGGACAAAATGGCAACCAGGACCAAATGAAGATTGGCAGATGACACAGCAACATTCCCAGAATCAGGGATCACCCTGTCCTCAGCATCTGAGACAGGACTTATGCCCACCTGGACAGGAGGCCACCAGGCCACATTCCATGCTTCCTCACATCCATCCCCTTCAGATAACAGGCCAGACCCAGCACGTGGGTCCCACTGGTTTTTGTTCCCTTTTCCCCTTTTCCCCGCCCAAGACAACTCAAACGTACCCTTAGGCTCTCCCAGGACGTGGCTCTAGCCTAGCCTCACCCCAGGTTTGTGGAGTACTGCCTGGGAGTGCACGCCAATAAACTCCTATTTCCTTCCCGTTATCTGTCTTTGTCCCTGTCTGTGCCTTCCAGCGTTCCCAAATCTATCACATATAGATGTAGAGCAACTTGTTGAGAACTGATCTTTCTACAATAACATGTCTCCCAGTGTAAGAACATGGAATACCTTAATATATTTGCTCTGTTTTGTGGTCATTAGTAAAGTTCCATAATTTTTCTTCATAAGGATCTCGTAGCTTGGTTGTTAGATTGTCTCTAGATATTTTAAAGTGTTTGTTATAAAAAAAAAAGTAACTTGATTTCATAACATTGTTAAACAATTGTAAGGAAAACTGGAACTTAGGGACAATTATCTTGTTCTCTAATACATTCTCTAATCATTTCATGGGCGATTTTACTCATTCAGTCTCTTGACTCTATAAACAATCATTAACATAATGACAACATCTGCATCTCTAGTCTCACTGTCTTTGAATTACAGACAGAAGCAGCCAACTGCTTATTTGGCATTTCCACTTAGAAGTCTAATGAGTATTTTAAATTTATGTACTCTTTTTGCCAGCACTATCCTTCCATTATTTCCCCTATCTCAGAAGACAATAATTTCATCCTTTTTTGTTTCTTAGCCCAAAATCCATCTTGGATTTCTTTAATTAGGTACTTGTGTGTCCTCCATTTAACATGCAGCAGGTAATTCTTCTTGGCTCTACCTTCATCTTTAAACTGGAACTGGAACCCTACTACTTCTCACCATTTCTACGACTAACATTCTGGCTCATGTAACCGTTATTTTGTGCCTACCTAACAGCAACAGTTTCTTAAACTCATTATCTCCATAAGTAATCCTTCCTGACTCAAAAATGTCCAGGGAGAGGAAAGAGGTCTCATTTAAAATTACATATTGAGTTTCAGAATAAGTTTCTTCAAGTGAGTGAAATGACCTACACCTGGTGAATCAGGAAGAACATTGGGAAGAGCGAGTAGGAAAACCAACTCAAAGTCAAAACATTAAGATTCACTGTCAGTTGAAGATCAGTGTGAAAGAGAAAAGGCATTTCAGAAATGAAATCATTGGGCAAACAGGAAGTTTTACAATGTTTAAATATATTGTGTTTAACTAACACATTGAAAAGATCTCTGTACCCCATCTGAAAGACTACATATTTCAAGAACAGCAAATCATAAAGAACTATCACAAAACAGCTTAACCACTTTGTAAAGGACCGTGTGATTGTATGATTTATGAACTCAAGTAGTGTACTTTGGGAATAAAAAAGGGGTATTGTTAAAAAGTATGTCAGGTCAAGGAATTTATCAGGATTGCTTCTGGTAAATGGTGGGGCTGGTAACCCTTTCCAGACCTCCGTTCATTACACATGGAGAGAACCAGGTATTCTTTCAATTATGCATAAAAGTTTATTAGGCAAATCAATAGCAGCAGCAGTAGTCAAAATTAGACAACACTTGTCTAGTTTATGAGATAAGCTTATTGACCCTTGATGGCATGCTTATATTTACCAAATCCAATAAATGAAAAGCTAAGAATTACTTGCTTTCAAGGCAAGTATGACCACTTTCTGCATTATTATTCAATAAAGTCTTGGAAGTCCTTGCCACTGCAATCAGGCAAGAAAAGAAACCAAAGGCATTCAAATTGGAAAAGATGTGGGGCGAGAGAGATAGTATAGCAGGGAAAGCTCTTGCTTTGCAAGCGGCTGATCTAGGTTTGCTTTCAGCATCTCATATGGTCAGCACCCAAAGCCCTGCCAGGAGTGATTCCTGAGTTAGAGCCAGGGATAACCCCTGAAAATTGTTGGGTGTGACCCACAAACAAACAACAAACCCCCAAAACCAAACCGGAAAGAAACTCTTCACTATTTGTAGTTGCATATATAATAATAATAATATACATAGAAGATACTAAAGACTCCACTTAAAAACGATTAGAAACAATAAAATACAGCACAGTAGCTTAAAAAAACCCAACACACACAAATCTGTTACACTTCAATACGCAATCAACAAAAAACAATTTAATAAACAAATAGGATTACATCAAACTAAAAGTATTTTTTAGGGCAAAAGAAACTTGGGCTAAAAACCAAGTATTCACAAAGCTCAACAAAAAGCCAATCATACCATCAAAAAATGGGGTGGGAGTCAAAGAGAGAGTAAAGCAGGTAACCTGGGTAACCTGGGTTCGATCCCGAGCAACATATATGGTCCCTGGAGACCTGCCCATAGTGATCCCTGAGCAGAGAGCCAGAAGGAAGCCATGAGCACAGTTGGCTGTGGCCTAAAAACAAAACAAACACTGAAAGGTTGAAGAGATAAATGGACATTTCCTTGAAGAGGACATACAGCCATATATCAAAGTGTTTGTCATCCATTATTATCAGGGATATGTCAATCAAAACAATGAGATACCATTTCACACCAGTGACAATGGCAAATATTAAAAAGATTAGAAACAACAAGTGTTGGTGGGAAGGTGGTGAAAAAGGAAGCCCCAATTCACTGTTGATGGGAATGTTTTCTGATTCATCCTCTTTTGAAAAGCTGTATGGAGACTTTCAAAAGGAAAAAAAAATAGATTCCACTTCTCTGTATATATCCTGAAAATACAAAAGCATTTGAAGAGCTACATGTATGTTCACAGCAGCACTAAGAAGAATAGCCAGAGAGACTCACAAATGAATCTCGGACCCGAGCAACTTGATAGGGATGGCTCTGGACCTTGCGCCAGGCTGATTCCACTAGGGCACCTCAGATGGGAGCAGATGCTCTCTCTCTCTCTGCCTGCACCAAATGAACCCGGGCAGCCCCGAACCTCCAGAACCCAATCGCCACCACCCTCATGGCCTATTTTCACAGGCTCATCCTGGGCCCTCACACAAGAGAATAAATCTGCTGAAATACCCAGGTATGTGGGACCAGTGACTGAAAATGCCAGGCCTCACTCAAGGGTTGGACCATCCCTTCCCATCTCCCCACCCTCCGGGGCCCTGGCTGTCATGCTCATCAGAGACTCACAAATGAATCTCGGAACCAAACAGCTCTCTGATTATTTAAATTTTGAGAGTCCCAGTGTTTTTTTTTTGTTGTTGAATTACTGTGAGTTAGACCCATGCAGACATCTTATACTATTCATAATAAGCAATGCAAAATAAATGATCTAGCATCTGCCTGTGGGGTAGGCTTGAGTGGAAGTGTGAAACTTCAAAATAAGGTTGGTGGTAAGGTCTAATGGTGGTGGGATTGGTGTTGAAATATTGAAGGTAATCAATTATTGTGAACAACTTTATAAAAATAAAATTAAAAAAATAAAATAAAATAAAAAACCTCCCAATAGTCAGCATATTGGTTATTAGACAGCCGAAATATCTAGTAACAGAGAACTGGATAAAATATGTAACGGAATACTATGCAACTAAAAGAAAAGATGAAATCTTGTAGTGTGCTGCTGCAACTTGGATGGAACTGGGGGCATCATGTTAAGTGAAGTAAAACAGGGAGAAGCACAAATATTAGATGATCTCTTACCTGTGGTATGCAGAGAAACAAAACAAAGGAACAGGTAGTACTGAAGACTGATAAACCCTTCCTGTTGGATTATGAAACAGACTACTGAACAGTGGGAGGGTGGGCGCAGGGAAGGCAGTCTACAGGTGACACTGGTATAGTCACGGAAGGTCTGAGCACTTTGGAGGTGGTGAAAGTGCTGTGATTTTGTACATCAACCATAAACATTAATGTTATTATCACCACGCTGTCCAAACTATAATGAATTTTTTAAAGGAACAACTTAATCTGTCTTCTTATTTTTGTTGGCTCTTTATACCCTTTCTATATTTATTCTTGAGTAAGACCATTTCTGTCCGCACTGGAAGTTTAACCCTGAAGCTTATGGAATATACCCTTCTGTGCACAGTCTAACAGAAAATGATTCTTCAAATTTCCAGAGGCTTTCCTGGACCCTAGAGGTACATTTGATTTATATGGAATTTGCACAAATCTGTGCCACATCTTCTTCAATCAAGATCAACTCCTACACTGTTGAGTGCCCAACATAATTGAAAACAAGGTCAATAGTCACAAAACTTTTTTATTACTGTGATCAATACATACATCCTTCGGAGAAATGTTTTCAGCCATTCACTTGATGACTACAAAATACATTGGGATCCGTTTTATTTGTCTGTTTTTGGTCTGTTTGGCAAGGAAAAACCATGAACGAGTCCAAGAAGTCTGATTACAAAAGTCTTTAAAAAAGGACGATTAACCACCACCAGAACTATGTCAAGGACCCTTGTATGATTCAAACCAAGAAGATGATTCCATTCCCATCCAGAAAGGCATGTTGGCACATAAAAGTAATAAAACAATCTGCTATGCAAAATAAAAAAGGGATCAAAAGATGAATATAAAAAATTAAAGTTTTGATCAGAAAAACTATTAATACATAAAGTCTCGGAGGGAGGTCTATTCTTTTTTTTCTTCATGGCAAAAAGAAAACATTGCTGCCAGTTTTTTAGTTATTCCGAAGGAAAAATAAGGAAAGTCAATCTCATCTGCTAGCTAGAATTCACAAACACCTAATTCTCAGCAAAGACGAAAGTAAGAAATGAATCTGAGTGGCCTTCGGCGGACACTTACAACACCCGGATGAGGTCCAGTGTGATTCTAGATCGGGGAATATCTATGTTGACTACTCGGACTTCAACTTTTTCTCCAGGGCCCAGACCCAGGCTCCTTCTCTTCTTCGTTTTAGAAAGCTTTGCTTCTGTCACACTTCGTATGGGAATCAGGCCTGAGCGCCCCACTCCTATATCCACAAAAATTCCAAAGAGTGTTGCATTCTGGACTCTGCCTGTAAGAACTGTCCCAACCTGCAGGTCTTCTAGGCATACTATGCTTCTCTTGAAGTCGGGCTTATCAAAATCTACAAGGAAAGGAGGAAGGAGACAGTGTAAATAACATGGCATTGTACTTCCTAGACACCGTACAAGGCATTGAATAAATATTTACCACATATCAACTTTCCCCAGACTAGTCTTAGGCACTGGTGGGTGGAGGTGTGGAGAGAGCCGCTGAAAACACAGGTCTGCTTTCAGAGAAAACGCATCCTTGCTGGAGAGACTACATGCACACAGGAGTGAGTAATTCCAGAAAATTCGCTTCTCCTCAACCTATCCTGCTAACACGTGAATTTTAGTACCATACCTAAGAATGGAGAAAGAGCTTCATTTTCCTCTTTATGAGGTGCTGAAATGTATTTTTACTCAAGGACTATACAATGCTAAATTATACGTGCGGAGAAACAGGAAGTTGGAGCACCCTTCCACCCCCCACGCCACCACCACACTTACACACGCCCAGAATTCCTGAATTTTCATACTGCTTAACGGTGGTGGCAAGTACATCAATTTTTGGTGAAATGAGGACAAAATTCTCTCCCACTTCACCCTAGGAATTGGGAAAAAAGGAATCAACTACTTCCCATTTTGAAATGTTATCGATTTAATTTGGATTTTTGGTGATCCGTGGCCCAGAAAACCAGATCAGGAACTAACTGATCTTCTTTCTCCTTTTAATCCATCTAACATTTATTAACCTCTATTGTTATCTCCTGGTTGGCCCATTGCCGGGTGTTAAATACACGCAGATGAAGACCCAAAGACTTCTGTTCTCCAACTATTTACGGCTCTCTTCTCTTGCCCTTCCAGCTACATTTCTCTATTCATACTAGCTCCAGAAAGTGTGCCGAAAGCATGTTAAGGGAATCATGGCTCTGGTTAAAACAAAAACATCAACAAAGGTTTTATGGAAGAGAAAGTTGAAACTAAGAGTTTAAATGGGACTTTTGGATTATCTGTGGATTCCATTTATCCATGGTCTTTTGGCCTTCTTGCCTAGGATTACTGAATGTTGATTCTAATAACAAAGAACACATTCTATGCTTGGGTCTCCTTCCACTGAGACCTCATTTTCCCCTCCACCCATTCCATTTCCTTTTCCTCCGCAGCTGTAGGCTTTATCCTGATTACTTGTTAAGGCTATCCTTTACATTTGTATTAACAACTGCTCACCTCTCCGCTCCCCCGACCCCCGCCCCAGTCCAACCATACTGAAATCAAGAATGAAAAAATAATTCTTTTTCATTCCCCCCTCCTGTAAAACAAAACAAAACAAAACAATTTCCACATTTCCTTTTCTTCACTGAAAAAGACAACTAAACTGGAATGAATTCTGTAGAATTCTACCTGATGTGGCTGAAGCACTGAATTCCAAAGGCAGGATATCTCCTGCCACATAAGAGTACCGTGTGCGAGGGCTCTGCCAAAGGAAGGTGAAATTGAGCTGGTGATAGGAGACAGAAGAACAGTCCTTGGAGGCTCCAAGGCTCTTGGTGGGAACCCTTCCAACCCCTACGTTCTGCTTGGCAGACGTCCTGCTGCTACAGATCCCCTGCTGGGTTCCTGATCAGCTGCATATTTTAATCTGGCATGAAAGATCAGTCAGGAACTATTTAATATGTTCCTGAAGACACAGAGGCTCAAGAATGTGCTAATCATCAGGGAGATGCAAATCAAAACAACGAAATATCATCTTACACCACAGAGATGGGCACACATCAAAAAGAACAAGAACAACCAGTGCTGGCACAGATGTGGGGAGAAAGGGACTCTCATTCGTTGTTGGTGGGAATGCCGACTGGTCCAGCCTTTCTGGAAAACAATATGGACATGCCTCCAAAAACTAGAAATTGAGCTCCCATATGACCCAGTAATACCACTTCTGGGAATATAACCCAGAGATGCAAAAAAATACAGTAGGAATGACATCTGCACTCGTATGCTTATTGAAGCACTGTCTACAATCGCCAGAATCTTGGAAAAACCCAAGTGCCTGAGAAAAGACAACTGGTTAAAGAAACTTTGGTACATCTACACAATGGAACACTATGCAGCTATTAGAAAAGATGAAGTCATGAAATTTGCATATAAGTGGATGGACATGGAGAGTATCATGCTTAAGTGAAATGAATCAGAAAGAGAGGGACAGACATAGAAGGACTATACTCATTTGTGGAACATAAAGTAATATGATAGGAGACTAAGGACAGTAGAGATAAAGGCCACTAGGGACAGCAGAGATAAAGGCCAGGAGGACTAGACCATGGCTTGGTCTAGTCCTCACATGCTGGGGGAAAAGGAAGCTGGGAAAGAAGGGACCAATAAGTCAATGATGGCTAGAAGGCCCACTTGGGATGGGAGATGTGTGCTGAAAGTAGACTATGGACCAAACATGATGGCCTCCCCGTATCTGTATTGCAAACCATAAAACACCCCAAAGGAGAGAGAAAAAGAGAATGTGCCTGCCACAGAGGCAGGGGGTGAGAAGGGGTGGGGGTGGCAGGAGGGATACTGGGAACATTGGGTAGTGGAGAATGGGCACTGGTGGAGGGATGGGTGCTCACTCACTGTATGACTGAAACACAATCATGGAAGTATGTAAGTCTGTAACTGTATCTCATGGTGATTCAATTAAAAAAAAAATCTGAAAAAATCCTCTCTCCCCTGGAAGCTTCTAAGGCTTTGAGAGCCAAGGCTGGATATTTAATCCCTTGTCATCAGGCTGCTTCTGATAGATCCAAGGCAACAGAACTGATTATGTCGCTCCCCAAGCAAATGCAAGACAGCACAAGTATGACAAAGGGCACAGTGGACAAAACGGAGGAAAGAAATACTGGAGGAGAGACATATCTAAGACTACCCATGACTGCTATGTTTATAGAAATAAAACAGCAAGGACTCAGCCCGAAAACTGGGCTGTAGGGAGGCATAGGGCAGCTCCAAAGTGCGCCCTGAATGGGGAAGGGACCATTAAGTCAATGATGGTTGGAGGGTCACGTGGGATGGGAGATTGTGCAGAAAGTAGACGAAGGACCAAACATGATGGACTCTCAGTACTGCAAACTATGAAGCCGAGAGAGAGAGAGAGAGAGAGAGAGAGAGAGAGAGAGAGAGAGAGAGAGAGAGAGAGAGAGAGGGAAGGTGCCTGCCAGAGAGCCAGGAGGTGGGATGGAGTAGAGGTGGTGGGAGGGATACTGGGGACATTGGTGGTGGGAAATGCACACTGGTGGGGGGATGGATGCTCAATCATTGTATGACCAAAACTCGATTATGAAAGCTTTGCAACCATATCTCATGGTGATTCAATAATGAAAAAAAATTAAAAACAACAACAACAACAACAACAACAAAAGTGCACCCTGAAAAGTTTCATAGGTCACCCTGATCACCACCATGGCAGCTTCCACCACAGCCTGGCGCCTGGGAGCTCTGCCAAGAGGGGCATCAGCAGGGAGGGTTTCTGCTGTGGCTGTTGGATATTTCTCTCAGCCAGGAAACTTGAGTGCAGATCTTCACTTGAGTCCACACTCAGCCAGGATGACAGAGCAATGATTACCAGAATAGAAATGAAACAGGAGAGAAGCCAGCCCAAGATCCCTGCCATGAGGGCTTGTAACTAACCCTCTGCTATCATGAGGAGTGGCAGGAAAGAAGGTCCCACCTCCACAGGTGTCTGCTGAACATCTGCTCTGGATGGGAGCCCAGAGATTTCTGCTCCTCATTTGGGTACAGGCGTTACTATTTGTTTTCCGCCATTAAAATTTTTTTTTTCTTCTTTTGCTTTATTTTTGGGCTACACCTAAGCAGTGCTCAGGGATTACTTCTGGCTCTGTGCTCAGGGATCACGCCTAGCATGCTCAAGGGACCAAATGGGATGCTAGGGATTGAACCCGGGTCAGCGGCATGCGAGGCAAACACTCTCCCTGCTGCACTAATGCTCCGGCCCCTAAAAATTTTTATTTCAAGGAAGTTGTGGGTGTACATCAATGAGCGTACTGGATGTACTTTTAAGTCTCAATCAAATCTTTTCAAAGAAGCTCATCTTGAAAGCAGCCTGACCTACAATGAAAAGAGAGTAGCCCCCAATAGGAAGTTTACCACAACGGGTGAGGGGTAGAATGGCAGCACTGGAGGGTGGATACTGGGACAATGGTGGGAAAGGGGCCAGTGTGGTACTGGAATGATTTATGCAAGAAACCTGAACAGCACAGTTCTGCAAAGCCCTGTGCCTGAAAAGAAGGGGAAAACCAACCTAAAAGAGGTGAGCCCTTTGCATGGCATCAGAAAGCTGGTTCTGAGACCCGTGTGTGGATTCCTTTAAATCCCAGGGCTTCCTATTCCAATTTCCTTGGGAAGTCGGTCATTCGATACCTTAATTCGTTCTCACCCGGGGTCACTGCTCTCAACAACGATGGCGATTCTACTTCCCTCTCCAACTACCTGTGCTGAAAGCCGAGAGCCCTTTTAATTAGAGGGAAAATCAACAGAGAGATAGGATCTTATTTGTTCAATGTATTCAGTGATATGCAACACAAGAACCTCTGTAATTTGGGAAGAAGATTCGCTTTTTTAGCTTGTGAACTGAATGTTTTATCTTGGACGTGGGGTACCGTAGAAGATAAAAAACGAGCTTATAATTGATTCATGAAAAATGTGTGCCTCTATGCACGGGGCAGTAAATGGACGTGTTTAGTCTAGGGTGATGGGAAATAACCACAGGACCAGGGGCAGGTGGATCTGGCCTCTCGCTCTGGCTCTGGGAGTGACCTAACTGCAATGATTTTGAAGCAAAGTCACTGTCCTCAGCCTTCTCAGATGTACAGGAGAGAACGGTCTTACCTTAGTCAGAAAGAATAATGTGAATTATACTCCCACCTCCCCAAAGGTGCAGTTCCTCAAGTTCAAGTTCAACTATTGAACTTACCTGTTCGAAAGTCAAAGCTTTCGGGCTGACTGAGACCATCTATAATGACTTGTAGAGTTTCCACAGTTGTTTGCAATCTTTCTGCCATTTTCGGTAGTCCTTCCTTTTCAAGGGATGAATTTATCTTCTGTTGCATTTCAGGCTTTCCAATTTCACCTAGCGTCCCTCCAATTAACGATAGAAACCTGCCGGGGTGGGGGGATGAGAAACCCCAAAGTCATCAGTAATTATTACTTATTCTCCAATCCCTGTATAGGATCAGCTTAAAATCTAATCACTTCAGATCCAGATGTCAAGCAATATACTGTATGTCCTGTGCCATAAGATGAAGTGTACTGGGGAAAGGGATGGGATAGATTTAGATTTCCGTGCTAGTTTCCAACAAAGTACCTGCACAGAATCAGCTTCTAGTAACACTGTTTAGAATGCAAAATTCACTGGCATTTAGAGTCATCCACAGATACAAGTCAAGATAACTATATTTACCTCATGCTTTCTTTTCCTTTTTCCATGCTGGGGTATGGCTGGTGGTGCTCTGGGGTTATTCCTGGCTTGGCGCTTGGGAGACCAGGTGATGCCAGGGATGTAACCCGGGCCTCCTGCATGCAGAGCCTGAGCCCCAGTCTGCTGAGTTCTCTCTCAGGCCCTACCTCATGTTTTCTAAATTTCTGGTTAGAAAAACCTTATTTGAATTTAAAAGGAATGAATAGGCAAAGAACCGACGACATCAAATCCTGCACTGCCAATTCTGGGCAGAAAGACTGTATTCATCTGTCATATCGGTGCTTTTTCCCCCTTGGTGTGCCCATGGTGACAATGTTATCTGTGTAAGTACTATCGGCGTAATCACTCTCAAATTCCAGCGACAGCCAAGCCTCTCCTGGGCTAAATCATATTAACTACATTACGTATTCAGAGTTAACAGGAAAAATATGGAAGGGATATCAAAAGGCAAAGGTAACCGAAAATGGAAGCAACACTTCAATTTCATCAGCTTAACCTGAATATTAGCCTTTTATACATTTTACCACTGCACTGTTTATAAAAGAAAATTATCTGCACCTCTCGTTTTCCCTTTGCTATGCTTGCCATTTTTCTTGCACGCGCAGCTGCCTTGAAACTATTTAGGCAAGGAGTTTGATAATAAATTAAGAAGAAGGAACAAAGAAAGAATTAAAGGGTTAAGGCGCATTTCCCTTTAGTTCATCTGAATATTGGGCTGGAGCTTACTTTTCTTTTTTTTTAACATTCCTTGGCTGGGTATTTTTCTACATCGTTAAGTTCCATTTCCTATGATTAATGGCACTTTTAAAATGTCAACACAGTAATCAGACAGTGATACTAATGTCCTTAGGTCCCTTCCTCTAAGGAAGTTTCTGGAATAGAAGAAGGGAAAAAGGAACTGTTGACGGCCTCTCTTGAAATCAGAATTGGGATGCACCCCACTTGGCACCCCGCTGCATCTTCAGAATCAGAAAGCTTGAGATTCCAGTTTTTTTTGCATTGCGTACTCCGCTAGGAAAGGCCTCCTGGAGAAAATCCGGTCCTGCTAACACAGTATCTGGGAAAGAAAGCTTCTCATCTCTCACTTAACTTGCCAACTTGTCTTTAGGGTCGGATGTGCAACCTTCCTATTCCACAGTTGTATTTTCAGTCAACATCAGGTTTCCTGAAAATGCACTATTTCCTGTGGATGCATCCTGGCTAACGACCTAATAAAGAAAGGCCAACTAATTGGTGCTGGGTCTCCCTGTTCAGAAATGAACCTCTGTTCACAAGTGGGGGCCGGTGAAACGTGCACTTTACCTCTGAGGGTCAGTGGATTTTCCAGCCCACCCACAAGGTGGTAGGATCTGTTACTGCTGATGAATGGGCAGTAGCATCGAAGGGCCTGGTGCGAGTTGACAGCTGCAGCAGTTCTGGCTGACAAGGAAGAGGACACATGACAAGCGCTGGTCACCTAACTCTCCCCAAGCACCTCACGTGCTGTGAGCAGGCTTCCTGGCACTCACTGTCTCGGCATGACGGTCTGCAACTGCTCATCCAGCAGAACCTTTCAACTCTCCAGGATTTTGGCTTTAGCATCAACTGTTAAAATGAAAACTCTGGCCTGCATCAAGGTGTATTAATCAGCTCTAAATCTTCAATCTTGAATAGCATTTTGTAAGTAGTAAAGGCGATCGAAGGCAGAGATTCCTCAATGTGCTGTTCAAGTCTTGACCTCAGTAATGAATACACTGGTTCAAGAGGCCACTAAAGTTTTTTTTTTTTTTTTATTTCTTTTTGGGTCACACCCGGCGATGCACAGGGGTTACTCCTGGCTCTGCACTTAGGAATTACTCCTGGTGGTGCTTCGGCGACCATATGGGATGCTGGGAATCGAACCCAGGTCAGCTGTGTGCAAGGCAAATGCCCTACCTGCTGTACTATGGCTCCAGCCCTGAGTCCACTTAAATTTTAAGTGTGTGTGTGTGTGTGTGTGTGAGCGTGCAAGTAGAACTTCCATATAAAGTTTTCTGTTTATAATAGTTACAGATGTAAGAAGAAAACTGGCCTATTTAACTGGGTGCATATTTCATATCTCATTTTCACTGGCAGACATCGTCAGTTTGAGGGCATTAGGAGCTAAAATCAATGAAAAAAAAAGTAAATTGTACTTCTATGCTCCATATTGATCATTCCTATTTTTAAATGACTATGAAACAAAGTCAATTTTTTTTTAATTTTTGAAAACTTTCCTAAAGTTATAACAGTATTGCAGAAAAATTAAACCAAAAAATAGACAGGGAAAGAGACTATAGTGTCCGAGTGACTACTCCATGACCGGGTTTCAAATAACCGCGCAAATGATAGAAAAAAATGTTTCGCTTGCAGCAGCCATGCTCCTTATACACATGCTCCTTCAGCATCCTAAGAAAGACTTATTTTATTAATTGTGAATTTTCATTCCAGAATTGAGTGTGATGAAGAGTGGACAACACAGGTTTTATTTTAGAATTAGGCAAGAAAAGTCATACTCAATATAAAGTACTCTCTGGCTCACTGGAATACAGGATGTGAATGATGTGTTGATAAATCTGCCAGGCCTTATGCAAGTGCTTTGCAAATGTTCTCATTTGATGCTGACAAAGATTAATCCAAAGAGACAGGTATCGCATCAGAGTGAAGGGAAAATTGGGGTTCGGAGGAGAAAAAATCTTGCCCTGGGCCACACAGCTATTCTCGCTCACTTGAATTTCATGCTTTATACATCTGAGTGTATTTGCTAATAATTACAGCTATGTCCAAATTAAGGTGCTGTAGCTGGTTAAAACATAAAACAATACTTTGGCTAACATTTTACTGACAGCATTTAATGGCAGATTGGTTTTTACTATTTTAAGACTTTAATTTTCATTAAGATGACATGGTTACCAAAGCATTTGTGCTTATGCTCTTGGCATATACATGAACTCACCACCACTACCTCCCAAATCCTCACTCCTGCCCCTGCTCCCCTCAGGTCCTCTCTAGCCGCCCCAATCTTCTACTACCCCCACTCTCACTTGGGAATGCCAGTTCTGTTGTCAGAGTCCATGGGTTTCTATCACTAGACTCTGCCCACTCTCCTGCTTTGTTTCTTCACCCACTCTGGGTGAGTGAGACCATCTGGCCCTTCCCCTTCTCTCTCTGACTTATTTCCCTTAACCTGACACCCTTGGGTGCTAGCCAAGTTGTAGCAAATGACAAAATTTCCTCTTTTCTTTTAGCTGAGTAGTATTCCACCCCATCCAGATGCCACAGTTTCTTCAGCCACTCATCTGTCATTGGCATTTGGGCTCTTTCCAGATCTTGGTGACCATAAATATCGGGCAGATTAATTTTAAATGTTAGACAGCTGACCCTGATAAGTCCTACAAAGAGATGATTATATACATGCCTTCAAATGAACAAGTCTCTCAAAAGGCATTGAGTTATTAAAGTCACAGTCTCATTTGTTCGCTTGTCTCTGGAAGGTTTTCTCAGTTTGCTAAGAAGTGCTGTCTGAGCTCCTGTTTTTATTTAATATGTAATTCCATCCATCTTACTTAAAGTAAGAAAGTAGCATAAATGCAACAAATAAGCACATCATGTTCTTTTAGCACACATCTGCACGAAGTTAAAATACAGACCTAGCAGCAAAGATAATGCTTGCTTTCCAAAAACAGAATGCTGCATAACCTAGCATCACTGATATTTTCAACAGAACCTCGTTACAAATGCAAGGATTTTTACCTCTCAAAGAATAAGAAAAGACTATGAGATTGTCCCCAAAGAATAAAAAATTCTCAAGATTCATAAGACCCAGAGACAGCCAGTTTTTATGTAATCATTTCCAGCACGAAGGAAAAAAAAAGTATAGGAGTCCAGCACTTGGTTATTACATTAAAGCAACATGATATCCCACAGAGCACAGGGGAAGCAGAGTGATGCAACTCCATCACATTAAAAACAACGTTCATATTAGCACAGGCTTTGTGGGCAAACACACACGGTTTAGAACACCGCAAAGAACCAGGCTGCAGAGAAAAAGTTCTAGTTGTCTGACCACTCTCATGACCTTTAAAAGAGAGCTTTTAGGCTCTCATTTATTTTTATCATCATCACTTTCACTCAATATTTTTAAAGCAAATGCATCAATAACTAAAACAAAGGCACGAGCATGTTGTTTCAGAAATAAGTAGTTCCACATAAAACAGGTCATAATTTGTAACACAGCTAAACATTCAATAGTCAAAGAGAGCTCATTATCTAAGTGAAAACCATGCGCGCTTTATCGTGGCTGTAGCTTAAATGGTCGAACTCAAATAAAAGTACAGTAATTCTTTGTTACACTAAGAACCACAGTTATTCTTATATTTTTAAGTAGACTGCTCTTGGATTAAAGACTGAATATTGATGCCAATGTGACAAAGGAGAGACTTGCTACTTGTGTTTTACACTGCAGGCAAGGGAGTAGCCAGGATCTCTGACAGAGCTGGCTCTATCCCATCTGCTGTTTCAGCAGCTAGCTGAATGTAGTCAGTCACCACCAGAGAAGCTTCTCGAACTCCCAATCTCTTTGTTAAACTGATACACCGAACTGGACTGGAGTCCTTAAAAATCACTGCCACTGCAAAGTCCACAGAAATGGCAAATTCAAGAAGCATATTCTTTGTGGGACTCC